TCAAGTGTTTAAGTGACTGCTTAAACAAAGCAATCAGGATGCTATGGTTCAATCCCCAGATCCTCAAGGTTTATGAGTCCTGCCCTGAAGGCATCATAAGCAAGAAAAAAAAAAAAAAAAAAAAGCCAAAAACTAAAACAAACAAACAAAAAATCAAGCAAGTACCAGCAAAGGCAAGGCTGCTTCCTCTAAGCCAGAAAGCAGTGAGCAACTCTCCTCGACACCAACGCAACCAACTGAAATGCGCAGACACGCAAGTAAATGATGCCTCATATTCCAAAAGCCACCATCCCTGAAGAAAACGGGGGCTGGGCTGCAGCCCTAACACACATGACACCCTGGCCTTAGGCCCCAACGCCATGAAAAGACACAGGACCTAGACATGCTAATTATAATACAATGCTTGTCACTAGCTGCATATTTACAGCTGTTATTTTCTTCTTCCCAGCAAGCATAGGATGACTGTCCTGCTTTGCAATACGCATGTGAGTGGAACCCAGGGCCTCACATGTGCTCGGCGAGCGCTCTCTTGCTGAGCTGTACCCCCACCCCCAGCTCCTTCCATCTTACACTTATTACATGTGTATTTGACTTTCATAATTATGCTAAGTAACAAAATACATTTCTAGGGGGTGTACTTGAATGACAGCATTTACCTAACATGCACCAGGCCCTGTGTTCAATTCCCAGAAAATACAGGAAAAGAAATAACTTCTAAGAATATCATTGTTTAAAAAAAATATTTGATACAGGGTCTTTCTACACAGTTCAGACTCCTAGTGATCCTTCTGTCTCAGCCTCCCCAACACTGGGATTACAGGTGTGCACCACCATGCCCAGTTTTGATGCTGGCACGGCATAGCTGGGGTTCCAGGGCCAGCAGAACATGCGGTATCAGGGATAGAACTCAGGACCTTGCATTTGCCATGCAGGTGCTTAAGCTTCCAAGCTATCTCCCCAGCCCCTAAGAATATCATTTTAAAGCCTGGTAGAGGGTGGAGGTGGGGGCTGGGGAGATAGCTTGGTGGTCTAAGCGCCTGCCTGGCAAGCACAAGGACCTGGGTTTGATTCCTGGTACTGCATGCAACGTTGGCCCTATACCATGCCGGCCACCGAAACTGGGTATGGCGGCACATGCCTGTAGTCCCAGTAGTGGGGAGGCTGAGACAGGAGGATCACTACGAGTCTAAGCTGTGTAGTAAGACCCTGAACCAAAGGAAGGAAGGAAGAAAGTCAGCCAGCCAGCCAGCCAGGAGTGGGGATGCAAGTCTGTAATCTCAGTAGTTGGGAATCTGAGACAGGATTGCCATGAGTTCGAGGCCAGCCTGAACTACACAGGAAAACTCTGTCCCCTCCCTCCCTTCCCAAAAAACAAAAATAAATATCATTTTGAATGGCTACAGTGTGTTATACTATATAGATGTACCAGACTATAACTAATTCAACTGCTAATTATTAGGCACAGGTCATTTTCAGTTTATCTAACAATTGTAGTATAACAAAAAATTACTACTTGGATGGCTACCAGAGTTGCTAAAATTCAAAAAGACAATTCCAAGTGTAAGGAAGGAGACAGGGCGCAACTGTCACCGCTCACATATCACTGCAGGGAACACATATCACCTTTGCACCACCCCTGGAGCCAAGGGACACAGCCTGGCAGCTTTCCTTCAGGAGCAATTGATGTGAAAAACTCATGCACAAAGGGGTGCACAGTGGCACCGCGCAACCGATCGACCCCAAAGGCCAGGCAGTAGAACGGAGCAATGGATTGTGCCGTGAGCTGAACGGCGTTCACCCAGCACTGAGATGAGCAAGCAGCTGCCCCCAAAGGGGCAACTGCGCAAACACGGGCTGAGCAAAGGACACACACAGGAGGGTGTGAACTACACAGATCTGCCCAGCACGGTGGCACACGCCTACTCATCAGCACTAGGAGCCTGAGGCATGCGGAGCACCATGAGTTCCAGGCCAGCTTGGGCTACAGACAGAGTAAGTTCAAGGCCAACCGACTGCACAGTGAAACGTTTGTCTTAAATAAAATAAAAAATGGACAAACCTATAAAGTTCAAAACCAGGCAAAAGTGATCTCTGGGGACAGAAGTCAGAAAAGTGGCCACCCCTGCAAGACTTATCACAAGAAGAGGTTTTTGGGGTGCTGGTCAGGTTCATCCAGAATGACAGACAATGGTCTGGGGAGACAGATCAGCAGCATAAGTGCCTGCCTGGCAAACCCAAGGTCCCCAGTTCAGTCCCTAGTGACCCTTTTCCCTCAACAAAAAAGAAAGACAAATTGTGTTCACTACAGGAAAATTCTAGGACCTACGTACTTTCCATGACTTCCCTAAGATCAACATTCAACAACAGAAAGTCAGTAAAAACAACAAATGAACCTGGATGCTACTGCCCATCAGTGAACACCAAGGTCAAACCCGTCTCTGGGGGCCATGGAGATGGCTCTGGGGTCTAACCACCTGCCCTAGACAGGTACAAGGACCCGGATTCAATCCCTGGTACCACATGTCATACCAGCCCTGCCCCAGGTACACAGTGCCAGCCACAAAGATTGGGCGTGGTGGCACACGCCTGTAATCCCAGTGCTGGGGCAGCTCAAACAGGAGGATCGCTACAAGTCTGAGCTGGATAGTGAGACTGACTCTGTACCAAATACATTAAAAATAAAAAACCTGTCTCTGACACGTCACTCTATCTGGGTGCCGCTGGCTCTAGCATGCTGGGCAGATCTGACAAAAGTAGCCGAACTAGGGCTCCAGAGCATCCAACTCTTGCTACGCACAATCTTGGCAAGACTGGGGACCCTCCCCTTTCCTTATCTTGCCACCCCAAGGGCGTTAGTTCTCTGTCCTGCCACGAGGAGCCCTAGGGCAAGCAAGAGGCAGAGCCAGGGCCTGGACCCATGCCCTACGGACCTGAGCCCCTTCCCTTTCACTGTGCTGCTAACTTGAGCCAGGTGTAGTGGCACACACCTGTCATCCCTGCCCTTGGAAGGCTGAAGTAGGACTGTTGTGAGTTCAGGGCCATCCTGGGCCCTACAGCGAATTGAAGGCTAATCTCAACTATGTAGAGACGTCAGCTCAACCCAAAATCCAAAAAGAAAAAAAACCCTGGCAAGCGCAAGGGCCTGAGTTCAATCCCTGTTTCCGCAAAAAAAAAAAAAAAAAAAGAAAGAAAGAAAGAAAGAAAGAAAAGAAAAGAAAAGAAAAAAAGACAAACACTTGCACCACTGGCCCCAGGCCCCAAAAGACACCCTGGCTGGTGTCTGCCCACCCAGGCCTGCCCGCCTTGGCCTCCCCTTTCCCGCCTGGTCCCTGGCCCCCCGGGACCTTCAGCCGCTCGTTCTCCAGCTTGAAGGCGGAGTACTCTGCCGTCTGCCTGTGCAGCCTCTCCACCAGGCTGTCCCGGTCCTCCCGCATCTTCTCCTCCAAGGTCTGCTGCTGGTTTACAAGATCTGTCACCCGGCTGAAGGGGGCAAAGTGACAGTGGCAGGACATCAGTTCCACCGTGACAAGGTCCTGGGGTCCTCCCCAGGCCACACCCTACTCCTGTGGCTCCTGTGTCCAGGTGGCACAGCTGGCTTTTCTGCCCTGCCTCCCAAGAACATCCTTCAGATCTGCTACCCACGCTGCCCTCATCTACAGTCCAGTCACAAGCAATGACCTAGTGAGTACCCATCAGGTGTGATGCTGTTCCTCAGGGCCTCAAGGATACTTACGTCCAGCTTGACCTCAGACGTGTCGCACAACCCGCCCTCTCAGCAGCCACACTTCACGGTCCACCATTCAGCAAACACTTGTTAGACATCGACTAGGCCCAAACCCCTCCTCTGAGGAGTAAATGCTATCTGGCAAGCTTTTACTCACCCTTCAAAACCCAGCTCAGATTCCCCTTCTCGGGCATTCCTTCCCCGGCTCCTCTCATCTGTACCATAGCTGCTTCTATCTTAGTGATGTTTCTCCCACTAGATGGAGAATGCAGGCAAGCATGACAGCTCAGGGGACTAAGTGCCTGCTTAGGCAAGCGCAGGGACTGGGTTCAATCCCTGGCACCACATGCTGTGGCCCTGCTCCTGGGTGTCGTGAGCCAGCCACCGAGATTGAGTGCAGTGGCACAAGCCTGTAATTCCAGCACTGGGGAGGCTAAAAACAGGAGGATCACTATGAGTCTAAGCTGTGGAGCGAGACCCTGTACTAAGTTATTTATTTATTTATTTATTTATTTAGTCCCAGCACTGGGGATTAAACTTAGGACCTTGTGCTTGCCAGGCAGGAACTTATGCCACTGAGCCAACTCCCTGGCCCCCTCAAATACATTTAAAAAAAAAAAAAGTTGGAGAACTCCCCAAGGACAGCACACAGCCTGGGGTCTCTGCATTTGCTGAGCTGGAAGAAGTGTTCCTGGCCCGGGAGGCTCAGCCTTAACCCAGGGAGCTCGCAGCTCTGCTAGCCCCATCTCCTTCACTAGAGCACAGGGCAGGGAACACACTTGGCCTCTTCCTGCTGCTGCCTGGCAGGCAGTGCAGAGCAGAGCAGGAGCCCAGGGCAGCAGCTGAAGCCCACAGCCAGCACCAGCAGGAGCGCGCCCCAGGCGGTCTCACATCTTGGACCCCAGGCACCCAGCCAGCCACCTGCACCCCATGCTGACACAGGGACCTACTCATTCAGGACGATGATCTCCAGCTCCAGGTCTCCCTTGTCTTTCACAACCTGGTTGTAGCGGCTCCTCCAGGACTCCAGAGTGGATAAAGCTTCGGCAACATAAAGATCCTGGGAGACGGGAGAGGGCGGTCAGTGGCCTGGTGGTGGGGGGTTCTCCCTAAATGACCCCCTCCCTGCCTGCCTGCCCCTCGCTCCAGGGCACCAGAAGCTGCTCCCAGACTCCCAGCACCTCCTATAGTAGCTGCAAACCCTGCACCACCATCCCCACCCCTAGAAGGGGTGCCCTCAGCCATTACCTACCCACCCTGCGTAGGTCGCCCAGGCTGGCCTCACACTTGCAGTGATCCTCCTGCCTCAGCCTCCTGCTGACTCTGCCTTTTCCTTGGTCCCCCCACCCTGTCCACAACCCCATCCCCACCCCTGCCAGTGCCCGAACCTTGTCTGCAAGCTGCACGTGCAGCTGCTCGGCGTACTCCTCGCTCTTCTCGGCCCGCTCCTTCTGGGCCCGGATGGCCTTCTTCAGGGACTCCTTGTCTCGGTCTCCCTTCTGCTTCAGTTCCTTCAGCTGCTCCATGATGGC